AGACTATCAATTACTTGAAATTAACCCTGAGGTGACAAGCGTACTTATCGGAATTTTAGCTACATTTACAGCTCGGTCGATATTTCGAAAAGTGTCACAGAGGCTGGTACCCTCTTGACTCAATTTCCCCTCATTCATATGAAAATTAGAATGGACCTTTAAGAACTGCGAGGGGAGTGACAAGATATTGATAGGTAAGTATGCAATTCCGAATGTATAGATGAAGTTCTACGCTCGATACATGATTGTGCTCCACAATCACATAGAAAAAATTGTTATTTGAGAACCATCATTTAGGGCCGCATCTTCAGTCGTTCCTGCAATTGTAGGACGTTTTTATGGCCTCCCTGATTTCAGAGCCTTTTCTTTCCTTCAGAAAGGCTGGGAGATTTATAGATTTCTACTATTCCATGTCAACGCCAGCGATATCTTATTGTCAGGCTATGTTTTCTTCTTAAATTGTAGAAAATTTCAGGCTATTTAACAGATCACATAAATAAAATAATACCATATAAAATAAACCTTGTCTGGAATTCGTAACTATTCAGTTATATCCCTCGTTTCTTTCTTTCTTACCGTCTCACACAAAGATCAGATAATATAAATCCATCAACAAAATTTTGTGGCAAATGTACTCCAGTTTCCGATGCCATTATTTGAAAAAAAGAAATAAAAATAAAACCCTCAAAAGTGCGTACCGGGATGTTTTCCTCAGAAATTTTATCGTGTCATTGAAGCATTGCTTTTATTTATCTAATGTCATAGGGGTGATTTTGGGGCCCTCGATAATATGTAAAGACGGTTGTCACGTGTCAAAATCACGTAACCCTTTTTTTAATATTTTGTGTTATAGTATAATTGACGACTATCTTCGAAATTTCCTCATAAAATTCTCTTGGTCCCTCGTAGACAGAGTTGGCAACCAGCGCGCCACCTTGTGATTTTTACACGTACTAGCCGTATATGAAAGCTTACCTTCCTATCAAGATACCTTCTATTAAAATTTGATTTACTATCAAGATGCCTTCTTTTAATTGCATACCGACGCGTGAAGCGCCATTTTGCTTTTGCTTTTCCGCTGTGATTTTGGTTGTGAGCGGGCGTTTTTTCGTTAACTTCCAGATTTTGGGATATTAACGCCTTGAACACCAGTTTATGGAGTAGTACCTTTTTATTTTGTACCTTACGTTTGTTTTGTAGCTGCGTTGTAGCTGCTTCGCAGCCGATTTTGTTGGAAGCCATTCCTTTCCTTTGACACTCTAATGAATTGAGGATCATTAATGCTCTCTTTGAGCCATTTAAAAAAGCTGTTTTATGAAGGAAAACAAGTATCTGTTTGATTCATAAGTCTCTGAAAAGGAAAATCCAGTCAGCTTCCACAAATCGGAATAAAAATTTGTTACCTAAAAAAAGTCATCAAATAGAGGAATGTGCGCCCAATTTGTTATTGGTGTAGAACATTAGAAAAGCAGCTAAAAATAAGTTTACGTGATACCTTTATAATTCACAGTTGAAAATTATCATTAAAAGATTGCTTTAATAAGCCTTGCACATCCCTAATTTGAAAATTAGGTGCCCAAAACAGACCCCTAGTAAGAATTGTTTCATTATCCATTAAGTCTTTATTCTTAAGCAAGAATACAAAGTATGTTTGAAACAGATGCATAGTTTTAAATTATTTAGTGACAAAAACTGCAAACGTATGCTTCTATTTTCCTTTTTACTTTCTAACATCCCATCTTCTAATTGAAAAAGGCATCAACAGCTTTAACCGCTCTACTTAGAAGAACCGCATTTCTTTTTATTAGTTTTTCTCATTAGCCTTTTCGAACTTGGATTTCAAAAGAATAGATAGGCAACTGGAAAAACGCTAAGGTAGTCATATAGGAGCTGCAAAGATGGAGGCTTTACAAGGCGAGGATCTAGTGAAGCTGCACGGCCAACAACTGAGCCTCGTCGAACTGATGAAATTCATGAGAAGAAGTGGCAGAACTCAGGAGATCCAAAAAAGGGAGAGGTTGGATTCTAGCGATGGCGCAAATATTGATGAACACGATCAGTTTTATAGAGATCACAAGTTGCTGCTTCATTTATTCAGGGTGAGTATTTTCGGGCGACAATGCACACAAAAATACTAGATCAGAAAAATAGAAAATCAAATGAGATCTCCAAAGTAGGAATAGTCGTCCTTTATGTACCCAAAAAATATCCAAGCTCTTTTGCATGGAAACTTGAAACCTGATATTTCGATGACTATGGATATGTAACTTCATTCAATTTGTTGCATTAGGTTTAAAAGAATTTAAAAAATAGATACGAAAATCGTCAAATTGTAGGAATGTTTTAATTTTATTATACCTATATATTATCAGAAAGAGGCACATAGAAAATGTTAGAATTCAAAGTCTTTTCGGGAATGAATCGAAAAATCCTTAAATATTACACAGGGTGTTCGAAAAATAAACGGAGATATTTTAGAGGGTGATTCCTTGTTAAAAAATGTGGAAAATGTTGTGTGTATAAACACAGTTTTCAAGGCACAGTATGTTACATTTAAAATAAATATAAATGTCTAAAAAAATATTTATTTGCTCTTGTTGAAATTTGACAATGTTATTTGTTGTATTAAATTATTAGCTCCAGCGGCGTCCCGTGGGTCTCCTTAGCGAATATTATTGGCAAAAAATGTACGCCACTGCCTCTTTTGTAATTTTAGTATTTGTTGTTTGATTAAGCATCTACAAATATAACTTATTTGGCTCTACCTCATTGCCAAAAAATGAAGTTGAAGAAATAATTTTTTCTGGGTGTAAAGGCCGTCTGTCACGATACGAAATTTTGTGCTAAATTTAGTACCAAATTTCGTGAGAAAATTCGTTACTGAATTTAGTCCCCAATTTGCTTACAAATTACAATACTGTCTGAAACGTAAAGAAATTTTTGTACTAAATTTCGTAAGAAACGAACATCATGCGCAGTTTGCAGAAAAAAACTAGAATTGTAAAGGTCTAACTGCCATTTATCACGTCAAAGTCACTCTAACAACACTTTCTTTTGCGGTTGCTACTTTATTCCTTTATTTTTAAACGAATAGAAAATTGTAGAAAATGGAGCAATCCGTAAGCGAAACGGTAAAAAAATTTGGTGCCGAAAATCGATCAGGGAGAGGGACCAGGGCGAGGGACCAGGGCATGTGTGTGCTCCATATGCTGAATGAAGAACTTCTAGTGCAGGATCCACAGGCTTATAGGCCTAACTGGTTCTTAAGTAATTCTAATTTTATCCAACGCAGCTTTTCTGTCTGATTAGGCCTTGCTTTTTACAGCATATAAACAATCATATTTCTCATACTCGCTTAGTAATATGGCACACTGCTCTTTTGATCATAACATCTTTTAAATTTTCAATCTATAAGTAGAATAGCATACGCAGGGAGTTTCGCGGAACTGAAGAACACAACTGATAACATGAGTCTTTGAGGTTATATCTGCCAAATGCGCAGTAGTCGTCTGCGCATTTTTTGTATGATATTATTCAGAACAGTTTCTACAAAATTTAGCACTAAATTTGTTCATACAAAACTATGTACTAAATGCTGTCTGACACTATCCTTCATTTCGTACGAAATTTAACACAAAATTTTGTACCAAATTTAGCACAAAACTTCGTATCGTGACAGACGGTCTTTACACTTCTAATATCACTGAGTATACCTACAAAAACGTGACCAACCCCCTTAAATTTCAGATATTGGCCGTGATGCCAGTTCAACGTGGACAAATAGGCAAGATCACCTTCAGTTGGACCAGTGTCCCAATGATCTATGCTTACATTTTCTACGCGGTCACCACAGTGATCGTGGTACTGGTCGGCATTGAGCGCTTCGATATTCTACTAAACAAGAGCAAGAAGTTCGATGAGTACATCTACTCAATCATCTTCATCGTGTTCTTAGTGCCGCATTTCTGGATACCGTTTGTTGGTTGGGGTGTTGCTTATGAAGTGTGCGATTATAAGAATTTATGGGGTTTTATGCAGTTGCATTACTATAAGATTACCGGTAAAGGAGGATTTAGAATGGGTGCAAGGACTTGAAGCATTGAGTAACGTAATCTACCTGAAGTTAACCAAACATATAAGGTAAGGTGGGGCAAGTGCTGCCCAAAAAATTAAAAGTTCAAAATCGAGATCACAGAAAAAATACTTAAAATGTTTTATGGACGATGCATTTTAACCAGAGAGTAGCCTATAGTGTTCTCTACAAAACTGAATACTTTAGATTGAATTAGAAAATTTACAATTTACCAAAAATGTTGTTTTTTTATTAGGATGACAATTGCTGCTCTTGCCCCATACAGTCGGGGTAAGAGCGTAAAATCCATTACTGTAGTTAGTTTTGCTAAGAAATCAAAACGAGGCAAGAGCAATCATCTTTATATTATGGATAATTGGTTAGACACGAAAAATAAATGTTATCCTGGTCAGAAGTTGAGTGATGAGCTTAGAAAGGGACTGATACCTTTTTGAAATGATACAAAAATACATTATCGATGCATAACACTCTTGTTTTTATTTAAGTAATAAGAATTTATCGTCACTTATGTATTTAAATTGCCAAAGTAACAAACAGTTTTACATTAAGTATAATTTTTCATACATTTTTTTATTTTACAAAGTTATACATCTTAAAAGGTTACAAGTCTTAAAGAAAATGAAAAACGCAAACACAAATTCTATTCTGTTCCGAGTAAGTATATATTTTATTTATACTTCGGATACCTGAACTTCATTATAAAATATATATTTCTGAAAACTGCTATGTGGAACAAGCTTAGGTTGATCTAATTTAAGTAAAATATCTGACAATGCAACAGAACATTTGTCGTTCTCATCCAAACGATATTCACATTTATTTTGCAGTTTTCTTAAACAGGTTACCTCTACTTCGTCGTCTAAAACCTTTGTTACAAGACAAACGTATTTATAAGTTTTCTTCTTACCAAAAAAGTTTGCTAAAATAAAGTCACCGTTCATAAGTTTTAAAATTTCATTTTTATTGGTGTCTTGTATTTTTTTATTTTGTTGACTATGCAGATCTTCATCGGATTCTGAAAATTCATCAAACTCTGTTATCCTATCCTCACTACTGTCACTTTTGAATGATTCCATGTCATCACTTTCATCTGAGCTGTAGCATTCTATTTTATTTCTCTTTAAAGATTGCTTCTTTTTTACTAAATTTTCTTTTTTTGTTTCTTGAACATTTTTTTGTGTTATGATTTGTGCTCCCGCACAAAGTCTTTTCTTTGATTGTTTTACAGGGATATAGTCGCGTTTTACAGATTTAAGTAATATGTCTTCAAAACTAATAGAGGTCTCTGGCAAAGAACCGTTTTCCTGTCCACAGATTGCAAGCGAAGTAGATGATTCAGGCTCCGTATGCAAGATCTGAATCGCTGGTGGGCCGGCTTGATTGGGAATTGTGTCGATATGCATAGAAGTGCCTTGACGTAGTTGTAATTCCTTCCACTTTGTGAATGACACTGGATCAAATAAATCTGTCGGTACAACATTCCGATTGAGCGGGTAAATCCCAGCTTTAACAAAACCACTTCGAAGTATTTCAGGATTTGTTTCTCTCCATATATCTCCAATAAGTTTTGAAAAAATACTCTTCGGCATCTTAATACCCACGTTCTTACGCTGCCATTCTACTAGTTTAGCATCCCATCGAGTTTTTAGGGATTTGAAAACACTTAAATCAAGTGGTTGTAAAATGTGACTGGTATGTGGGGGAAGTTTTAAAATTGTTATCTGGTTGTCGATAGCAATTCTAACAACTTCTACACTTAAATGAGTCGCATGACCATCGTAAATTACTAAGACTGGTCTTTCTGGAGGCAAACACTTAACGAAACTTTTTTCAAAATAGTTTTTAAAAACTGTGCTTTCCATCCATCCGTTGGCGGTTGCTGCATATGTCATTTCGGGAAACTCGCTACCAGGGGGTGCAAGCCACTGATCCCAGACGTGCTTGCCCTTAAAAATTATTAAGGGAGGCGCCTTTTCTCCGCTTGCGCTGCAGCACATTAAGACAGTGGTATTCTGTTTTCCAGGCCCACTTGTTGTCCGTGTAGCTGGCAGTCCCCGTTGCCCAACGCTTTTCGTTTTTGAAGGGTCTGAGCAAAAACTGCTCTCATCTAAGTTCCATATCTGAGATGGTTTATCCTCTAATCCAAGTTCTTTGATTGTATTTTCTAATAAATCGAAGTACTGGTTGACTAAAAACGGATCAACATTCTTTTTTCGGGCAAATTCGACGCTTTGAGGTGTTTTAATAGAAAGCTTGTGACGACATTTAAAATTTAAAAACCAGTCTTCACCTGGTTTGTCATTTTTAAACTGCGTTTTAATTTTATTCGTTTTAACATAATCTTCCACTATCCCGAGCAATTCCTTTCTGGTTAGACCGAATCCCCACTTCTCCATACAGCGGATACAATCTGCCAGACACGTCTCCTCTTCAAAACTGAGATCTGTCCTTCTACCATAGGTTGAACTTTTCTGACCTCTGCGCCCTTTTACATGGTCCGAAAGTGTATTTTTTGGAATACGATACATCAAGCTAGCTCTGTAAATACTCATTTGTCCACTCTTTACAATGTTTACAGCAGTCCTTAGATCTTCTTTTGAGTATCCGGATCCTCTCTGAGATTTGCGAATATAATTGCGAACCATAATTTAATTCTGAAACAGAGGGAATATTTCAAAAATACTGTTGGGGCAAGTGCGTTTTATAGACTGCACTTGCCCCTTTAAAATAGGCTGCTCTAGCCCCTGTACAAAAAAATCACAGGGCAAGTGCAGCCTATCAACAAAAACTTGTTTTATCGAAAATAAAAGCAAAAATATCGTTATCACTAGGAAAATGATAGAACAATAAGTGTACTTACCATAAATCAAAACTGTAACTCAAAAGATGGCCTTGATATTGACGGATGTATTAAACGTAACCTACTTGTTGCTGGACAATAATGGCGAATAAAATTTCGCGTGTTTTTCATGAACATAATACCGGTCGCAGATCTCTTCTGTTATTTCACAAAGTTGAGATGAATTGGGTAGATGAACGATCCATAGATGGTAGCACAACTGACTGATATCCGGGAAATTTAAACGCAAAAGCTGCACTTGCCCCGTAAATGCTCTTACCCCACCTTACCTTAGTGTATTTCGACGTCCATAAAAGGCATATGAAACATACTAGCGCCATCTATGGGACAGAAGCAGAACACATTTTTTTTATATTTTTAGAGTGGCTTCGATGAATATTAAAACCGATCGATTTGATCAATTAATAATTAATATTGACATTAGGAACTCGCGCAGATGCTCAGATTTAGACACAAAATACTGTTCAAGTTCCTACGGCTTGGTCCTCAGATCAAGGACAACTGGATGTTGCATCATGATAGTGCTCTTCACACAGCAATGACAATAAACAAGTTTTTGGCCAGTAAAAACATTCCTGTGGCTCCCCAGCCTCCTTATTCACCTGACTTGAGTCCTTTGAGATACTTTTTTCTTATCCTGAAGTTAGAAAATCACCTCAAAGAAACTCATTGTCAGACTGTCGAAAACATTCAAATGGCTGAAGGCTATTCCAGTATCGGAGTTCCAGCACTGCCAGGACGAGTGGAAGAATCGTCTCCAGCGCTGTGTGGGTTATTTTGAGGCTGACAACATGAAATTGAAATTATACTGGAATTAGAAATTTAAAAAACAGTCTGTTTTACAATAAAAAATCGCTTTGGACAACCAAATGACTCGAGCGAGTTCAAACTCGTACTGAGGGTGGAGCACATGTTCCCCGGTCTCCCTCTAAGCCCGGCGCCCACAGTGTTGCCAGTGCGAACTTAATTTGAAGACCTCGTAGACATTTTTTGGATTTATCTTTGGTTCCAGCTCGTTTTTGGAATACAATCTAAAAATATTGTGGACGATAAGAGCGTTTTCGTAATTTCGGTAAAAAAGGTCAAATTTCGGTAGAAATACAGAAAAATCGGAAGGTTCGACAACACTGGTCCAGCAGCTGAAGAGCTTCTGCATTGGACTACTGATGTAGCCTTTCTTCGTGCCTGGTTCTCGTCCATAACCAGAGAGATATTCAAATCGCGATGGATATCCCCATTACGAATATACTAAGAGGCATTTACCATGTTCCTCAGAACTTTATTTTGGAACCTTTGAAGAATTTCGATCTTGAAACTGTTGGAAGAGCCCCAGAGTTAACAACCACAGAGCTACACCGGTTTTAAGACCAGATTACAGATTACGATTTTGAAATAAAGCGATAGCTTTGAGGATCTTTCCAATAACCATTTTTTTATATGGTCATTTTATTTGAGCCTGGTGTCAACGGTCATACCTAAATGTCTAGCGTTAGACTCCAATTGTATGATCATGCCGTTAACGCTAATTTGATGCAGACTTGTCAATCTCCGGTTTGTAAACCAAACGTGGATTGACTTCACTTACTTCAATTAGATTTTCCATCTTTGGATCCATTTCACTAAATTATTGGCAGCAGTCTGTACTTTGAAAACAGACCTTAATAGATTCTTGTCAGTTGCAATCAATGTGTATCATCTGCAAATGCTGCAACTGTCAGACCACTCATAGCAGGAATATCTGATATATTCTGGACCTAGAACCCTCCCCTGGGGTACTCCAGCAATGGTATCCAGAATATCAGAATAATCACCTTCTTGCTTGACTCTGAAGGTGCTATTTGACACATATAAACTGATTACCTCGACGTAATGTCTTGGAAGTATTACGCTTTTTTTATTGATATGTCCCTTTCGCAAAACTTTGTCGAACACCTGTCCGACTTCCAGGAATAGTGCATTTGAAAATGCTATTCCTTTACAGCCAATTCTTCGATCATGCACTTTGTCGGTAGTGGAATGTTTTGTTTTAAATTTGAATGGGTAATCTAGGATAAGTTTGTTCTTTTCTATGACTGGTGTAAGTCTCATTAGTACCATTTTTTTTTAATAACTTGTAGATGACATGAAGTAGTGATATAGGTCTGTATGATTTGACTTTGGTGCATATCCTTTCCAGACTTCGGAATCATGGTAACTTCTGCGACTTAACATATATCGGGCATAAGCTCCAAACGAATTGCTGACTTGAATAGATACCTTAACATTAGTATAGCTTTTTTAAGCAATAATTTAGAACTTCTTCAGTAATGAGAACGAATCCTGGAGCCATTTTGTGACTTAATCATAATTTTTGTAGAAACTGTCTTAGGAATGACGAAGGGAATGCCCACCACGCAAATGAATCCATAGCATCTATTGATAGTGTTTGGATCTGCTGCTGTTGCATAGATGGCGATAAGGGCTTCAATTCATTTTTGGCGCTTCTCTAGTGCTTATTTCAATTAGATATCTTCAGGCATTGTTAAATATATTGAATCAAAATAAGCATTAGAGAAGCATCAGAAGGATATAGAAGATCCTAGCGCCATCTATAGTATGATAGCAGAACTAAACACTCTAACTGTTTTCGAAGTAGATCTCTAAATTTAATTTTTTATTTTGGTACTGTCTCATAGATCTTTAAGATTGCTTCAAAACAGTAGAGAATAAAAAAAATGTTATATTTAGTGATGTTGATTTTGTCTTGTTTTTAATTTGCTGTACATGTGTTACTTATTTTATATTATTTGTTTTACTCTGTTGTACAGACTATTTTACAACTTTTACTGAAGTTTTCTATTTTCTGACATGTTGTATACTAGGGATGTTCCGATCCACTAAAAGTATCAATACCATGTTTCGATTCGTATCGTTTTAGTAAGTATCGAGGTTCTAAAATATCGGAATATAAATATCGAAACTTTTCGATACGGAACATACACTGCCGAAAATTGAAGTTGTTTTTCTACAACCCTCAAAATATGTTTGCTTTTTTCAAGCGCATGACTGGATTGTCAAATAATGTTCACTAATAAAAACAGGTAAGAAGCTCCAAAATCGCTCCACAAATCACTTCTTTCAGGAGGCAGCCCTATTACAATAATGTTTTGTCTTAAGCTATAATTTTTAATCGACAAATGCCAAGAGCACTGTGAGTCATGTGTGTGTAATTCCCCGGAATCGAATCCAACAGGGTTGCCAGGTCGTTTAGCTCAGTTTCCCCAGTCGAATTTAAAAATCCACTAAATTCGGGACTATTCAAAAAACAGCCCCAAAAATACCATTTACTTTTTGTTACCATAGGTTTGCGATTTGTTAGGTATTCTCGGATCTTAAAATATTTTTTTGAGCGACATATTTTTTGTAGTACATTATGTAATGTCATTTTAAAATTTTACAAAATATTATCTCCCCAGTAAAATGTGTTTTCCTAAGAGAAATCACCAGAAAAAAATATGCCCATTGAAATTCCCTGATTTTTGGGCGATATCTCCTAATGTGGCAACCCTGGAATCCATAATAAATTATGAGTGGCCGTGGAGTGAGTAGCACGAGCGGAAAGAAAAAAACAATGAAAAGCAATCTGAAGTTAGTCGCTCTTTCTGACACAGTCTGGATCGAAGGATAACGATACTCGTGAAATGTATCGATACACCCAAGTATCGTATATAAAAATATCAATTTAAAATTTTGGGTATCGGAAGCAAAAGTATCGATACTTCTAAACATCGGATCGTATCGAACGTCCCTATTCTATGATATGAACTGCAGAACTAATAAGAATTCTGATTCTGTGTGTATATGGTTGCCTATCTTCACGTAGAATACGTTAATCCGTGCTCAAAGTTATTATGGTTTAGAAGCCATATAATTGAACGACATAGCCAATTTTAGCTTTGCTTAAATTTTTCACCCGAAGTCTCAGCTTACTGGCCTTGGACCACAAACAATAGAATAAGAAATGGGTTGGTCATTTTAAAAACCACTTAAGTCACACTTTTCAGAATATTTTTTTAATAGAAATGCTCCCTCAAAGGTAGGCGCGATTTCAGGCTCGAATAATCATGTGCCTTGTTGTTTTTGCTTGCACTACTCTGCGAGTACTTACTTGAACATTTCAAACCAGTACTAGGATAATTGATTTGTTTTATTTTCAGATTTATGCGCTACTAGCTTTCTTTTATATACCAGTAGTCCTGGTTCTCCTTAGAACGACATAAGTGCAGGAGATTATTTCGATCTATTATTTTTTTATTATTACCAATAAACTGCAAAGGTTTTTCAACATTTCCATCTTTTAAAAGTCAAATACTGTATTAAGCCCAAAAAAGCTGTTTAAGACTGGTTTGTTAATGACACAGTTCGAATTGTGCGACTTAAGAGTTTTTTGAAATGACCCATTCAATTACTTTGATAATTAACAATAGGCTAGTTGACAGTTTTTTCAAGTAGGTCTTAAATAGTTAGTCTTTGTTCTATTAAACCAAAAACAGCAGTACTATATTTTTTTCAGACCTAAAGGAGTTTAAACATATATTTTTCTTAGGCGCAATCCACACAGAACGGGCGCGTGGTGGTGGCGAGGGTCTGGCGTGGCAGGGGCCTGTGTCATCACATGTTCGTTTATGCAGCAATACAGACAGAAGCGATGTGGCGCCAGCGAAATAATTCGCGCCACCGCCGTACCACTTCGACACCACGAGTGACCTACATTAGTGGCAATGCCATACACCTGACAGCTACTTTTGTTGATTTCTGGTGTTTGCTAATCAAAATGCGGGACGATTTTCAATTTAATATCGAGTTCTGTGAACTAGTGGAACATTATGCAGTTCTATATGATTACAGACGATCGGATTACTGCAACAGAAGTGCACAAGACCAGGCATGGGAACAAATATAAAAAAAAAATCAGTGCAAATGGTAAGTAGGTACATGTTTATTGATTTTTTTATATTACAGAGTATCTGATTCCATTCATACGCAGTATCTATCCTGATGAGGAATTGGTGCGCGGTCTTTAAAATAGTTGCTGAGGTAAATTCTCATATCTCTAGCGTTTTGTATTAATTGTACTGGAGTGGAATCGCCAACAATAACGTTTTCATATTGGGGCCTTGAGAATGTGCCATCACACTCCTTAATCGCGTTGTGCAACACACACATTGCTTGAATTAGATCATTAACTTTAGTAGGATCACATCGAATAAGTGTTTGTAGAAGCCCGAACTTTGTTGTAAGCATACCCAAAGCGCATTCCACTGATTTCCGTGCTCTGGAACATCTGACATTAAAAATCTTTCGTTCGTGACTTATCATCTCTCTTTGAGAGAAGGCTTTCATTAAATTTGAGGATAGGGGAAAACCTCATCGCCTACAAAAAGTAGAGAATTGATTAATGCATTTCTCCAGGTAATGCAGCTGGTTCAAGTATATTTAGACGTCGTCGTTCCTTCAACGCTATTGCGTCCGAATTCACCTACATCGATTGTTAGAAATAGGCCATCTGCATCTGCCACAGCAAGTAAGACAATAGAAAAAAACCCTTTATAGTTGATGAAAGCAGATCCTGACCGCGGTGGTGCTTTTATTCGAATATGTTTGCCATCTACGCTACCAATACAGTTGGGAAGATTCCACAATTCATTGTGTAGGTTTTGGCATATAGACAGGTTGTAATTTCTTCCATATGACTTGGGCGGTGTGATGCACAATCTCGTGTATAGTAGAATGACCTTTCAGGAAGTAGAAGGAACGGGCTTTGAATGAACATCCAGTCGCGAAGTACCTGAAAATAGGCAATCGATGTTCACTTTATACAGACCAGTATTTTGTTTTAACGTATATTTAAATGTATAATTTTTGTTTTTGTTTTAGTATCCGAGTGTAAAGACCGCTGGAAGAATATACGAGGAAGCTATTCAAAATATAGGGCAAAACTACAAACAAAATCAGGACAAGGAGCTAAACGAGTCAAAGAATATTATCTGGCCCCACATCTCCTCTTCTTGGATCCTTTCTTGAAGTCTCGCAAAAGCAAAGGCAACATAGCTGAAGAGTCTGCATTATCAGCTGATGAGGAAACAGATTCTAATGAATATGAAGAAAACGGCAACATTGAGGTTCAATCACCCGATTACATTCTATCCACTCATTCCTCTCATTCACCTATACCATCTCCCAGTACTTCTGTCGATGATCACCTGTTAGCAATGAAAGCACCTAAAACACCATCACGGAAAGGAGATGATTTAAGAAAATAAAAGAAGTTAGCAACCTCTATCAATGATGTCAACCAGCAAGCTTTTCAGTATTTTGAGAAAAAACAGAAAGTACTGGAGATCCAGAACGTCACGAAAACAAATACCACAGTTGATCCTCCTGATCCTGACCTGGCATTTTTACACAGTGTTCTGCCTGACATGAAGTCTATGAACTCTAACCAGAAACGGCGTTTCAAAATGGGCATTTTAAATTTGTCCGAGCAAATACTATCCTCAACCAATCTGGAAGCTACTACTCCACCAATGGATGGTTCTCAATCTTGGATTGAAGATTCGGTGAATAGAAATCCAGGTTCAATCCCGCAAACCAACACGGACCCTTTCAATATGACTGAGTTTATACGATACAATAATTAATACTGATTTTATGTTTTCTTTTATTTGAGTTAATTCAATTTACTTTAATATATTTTTTCAACTTACCTCAGCGTTATTAACAGCCTCTCCTCTGGACTGACCGGTTCTCTCCAATTTGTTGATTTCTTTTTAAGATCTACCCTTACTAATGCTAGTATTTTATAAAAACATTGACTGGACATTTGATAGAAACTTTGAAAACGTTCAGGGTATATATTGAGCTCCTGCATAACGTTGAACGAACCACTAGTTTTCCCTTTATCTAGCCACAAAGGATGTATCCAGTATCTCCTTTGCCTTTGTATGTTAGCTAAATTCAGAAGGTCTAACATATCTTGATCATCTTCGTCATCCGAAAACATCGTCAGTCGTCACTCCGTGATCCACGCCTTGAGGGAAACTGATTCTGACATTTCAGTGTGAATTGAACGCGCCACGTCTGTTCCTCTACCGCACCACGCCAGGCCCACGCCACCACCACACGCCCGTTCTGTGTGGATTGTGCCTTAGACAGGCGAAAACACTGTCCGTCAGGATTGTCACATATTAATTTGTCCTGACGTCATACCAATTAATTGTAAACAGCATCTGACAGCAGCACAACCTTTTAAATTTTGAAACACATCAACATGACTTCTACTAGTTCTCATAAAAAATATAATAATTATAGTTATTGTATCGTCCGAGAATGTAAAAACACTTCGATAAAGATCCCAGGAAAGCTGTGCCCAGGGAAATAAATATACGCAACACTGTGTATTGCTTGGATCATACCACACACCTTATGTTCCGGACATATTTTACATTTTACTGTGAATATATTATCGTCTTGTTTAAGTTGGGCGTAAGCTACACAGCATCATTACCAGATGTGTGAGGACGAGATAAAATTATTTAGAGCCTGAGACGCATGAGCTTAATTTTGAATAACTTCTGAAAAGAAAGATTTTGTAAGGCTTATTCTTTCTTAATAATAATAACAATAATAATAAACGGCTTTATTTGCTGAGTTTAGCACTGCTATTCTTATATTGTTACACTCAGCCTTTCTAAAGACTAAATCTAAAGCTAATTTGATATACAAATGGTATTTTACATATACAATAAACGATTGTATATATATATGAATTTAACTAAAAGAACATAATGATAATGGATCACACGGCATTTATTCATTGATCCTAGATCCTATGCTGAATTCCTAGAAGATGTTGTCTGAGATGCAGTTTGAAACGGATGTTATTAGTATTTGATATATCAATATTTCTGCTATAGATGTTAAAGAGAGATATTGCATTATAGGTGAAAGATCTATAAAAGAGTGATGTTAGGCATTGTAAAATAGTTTTGATGTCTTATATTGACATTATGTATACTTGATCTAGAAACCAGCTTTTCTACTAAATATACAGGATTCTTAGAATATAATACACGATTCAATGCTGTTAGGTAAACATATTTGAACAGAGAATAAACTATTAGTTATATGGTCAAATTTACGTAAGTTACAGACAAAAAGGCAACAGTTATTCTGCAATCTGCAAGCGCATTTGAGTCGAATAGTCCAGGCATGGATAGAAAACTATCAAACCATAACTAATAATTGATAGCACTTCTTATTATGTCTATCATTATATCAGATGCACTGTACCTCCTCAGCTCAGTAGAGCAGAGATCTAGTTTAAGGCAGAAAATAGAAACCATCCATGTGTCAGTTTTCGGCAAGTTTGTGTTTCGTCTTTTACGACTCCAACGTGCAAGATTGTTTTTTCCAATAAAACAAGAAAACGATAACCTTTACGTTGATTAAGAGTTTTTTTAGAAACACTTAAAGAAGATAACCTTAGTCCACGAGTGACATACAGATGACGTTTCTTTGTTTACAATCTGTATGACGTCACATTATGGCCAAAAGATTTTTCACCATTTCGTATTAAAAATGAACAGTACGCTTTTTTAAATTTGACCTATACATGGTGTTCCAGAAGTCGAGGAATATGCCAAGTCACAATAGTTATCAGAAAAATATACAACAAATCTAAGTAAGTGTATCATAGGCTTTGAAACAAAAAAAAAATGGAAAAATCGGTAAATTCTACACCCTGTGATAATCTTTTAGTTCCCATTAGTAAAAATTTCAATTCTTTCTCAGACCGAGTGACTGACAGTGTCATTCTACGTAGTAACAGAGAGACAAACAGTAACGCTACTTTTATCGATTCGTGGATGTATTTATTAAATTTACAACATATTTGTGTATATTTTACCGATTTTTTTTTCAAAGACTATAATTTGAAAAGTATATGACTTAGTTTTTTATATTTTTCTGATAACTATCATCCCCCGCTTAGGGTTGCCGTCAACTTCTAGGACACCCTGTGTATCCGTTTTGATCTTTTAAAAATTGAAATCAATATATTTTGCTTTCCTAAGGCCCGTATCGTCAGTCGTCCCTACAATTGTAGGGCGCCTTTATGGCCTCCTTGATTGTCATAGTTTTCTACTTCTCCGTGTCAGAACTCTATTTTGAGGTTATGCCACAAACATCTATTTGCATCAAATTGCTTGCTTGCTTTTGAGTTATATCATGTTTTATCAGCCTGAAATTTCCTACAATTTAAAAAGAAAACATATCTTCACAATAGGAGAGCGCTGATGCTGACACGGGACAAGTGTAATCTAGAAATTTTTGAAGGAGAGAAAGGACCATGACAATCAAGGAGGCCATAAACGCGCCCTACGATTGTAGGGACGACTGACGATACGGGCCTAAGCCAAATACTGTAAGAAATACTCATTTATTCTATGAAATTAAATATGATTCAAGTAGCCTATTGTTGTATGTATATGTAAATCGTACGTTTTGATCGTAAAGTCTTTAATCGTTAAGTAAGACGTAGTGTGTGTGGTATCAAATCGCTCGTTTCTGTCATCACCCTCCGTCAATCGCTTGCCAAAGTTGATTTTTGCGCAATTATTACATTGCTTGGGGAGAATACTGTGTGTCTGTATGTCTAACGACACCAAGACGTCGGATACCACAAATACAACATCTCAATTGACAAGCAAAATGTACGATTAGCATGAGTACCTACGCCAGCCTTATCATGTTATAATTGTAGGCAAAAACATGGAGTTCCCTCTGCTAAGCACTCTGATCGGGGTTATCAGCCTCGGCTGCTTAATTTTAGCCGTAGTTTTCCTTTTGACACTTAGTACCCTATTGGAAGGGTATACGCTGTACCACACCACGGCATACTATCATATAATTACGATGATAAACATGAACTGCGCACTGTGGTACATCAATTGCAGAGCTATCGGTAACGCTAGTGCTGCATTAGCTGACGTATTTCAAAAGGTAAAATAAAAATTAAGGCAATAAGAAAGAATCCATTTTGGGGGACCTTTAATAAGCTCATAATGATGGTGTAGTCCTTGTATATTGATAAGTGTTTAATCTATATCAGGGATAATTATAATCAATAACTAACTAGGAATAATATCATTAGCACATCGGGTTACAATCTCCGCGCGAATTTCAATGTTGTTATATCCATTCATAAGCTTGCTTCGGTGTCAAAGGGTGCTTCGATCATGCCGATAAGATTGTTCAACCACTTACGTTCATCCTAAAAATCCAGTGCACAACAGCGTTCAAACGCAAGGCATGCGAATTTATACTATCAGAATGAATTTTCCAATTCCGGATCGGTTCATCACGTTGTTTGAAAAATTGAACTATGGAAGATATGATATCATTAGAATGTTTCAGCAATCGTCCTCTACTTAACCATCGGACTTCAGAGTAAAGAAGTAGTTACCCGTATTGAAAGTCAATTTCATCGGCCAAGGTTTTGAATAACCTTTTTTGTAACGCTTGAGCTCTAACCTTGTTCATAGTTTTTACTACCAATTTTATAACGTTGCTTAGTTTTAGAAAATGTCCACACAATACTTTTTGATGGATAATTCAGTGGTAACAGAGAAATTGCAGAAAACTTTCACCTTTACGACATAACCCGGCGAGACCCGCATCACAACCCACCATAGCTGGAGCGCCATCGGTTGTCAAGCCTACCATTTTCGATATTGGAATTTTTTCAGAAGAAATAATATTTTTAAAAGAAGGACACAATTCCTGCCCAGTAGTCCGTACTAGTGGAATAAACTTCAAAAGATCTTCTTTAATCGTAAAATGACTAACAACCAACATGATGAACACGGTCATCTGAGAGGTATCAACGGCATCCGTTGATGCAGTGAAAAATAAGCACAGCTATCATTTCTTAACTGTAAAACTATATAAAACGACTATTTTAACATTTTCCCGTCTTCATAAGGTTTCTTCTTTTGTGTAATGATGCTTCAGTTGCAGCGTTACTATTGTCGATTGTTTTTAAAAACGTTGTCCGTTGTTCTATTAGCTGATTTTTTCATTGTTTCGGTTTTTCCGTTGTGGTTGCAGTATGATTTTTTAAAATTCGAATGTACAGTTTTATAGTGCCTCTCGATATTCTCTTTTTTAGCAACGGAAACAGATGTATTACATAACAAACATACATTTTTATGCTTAGCTTCTGCAAAGCAATATTGTTCTTCTCATTCCAAATAGAAATGGTATGTCTTCAACTTCTTACTACTGCTGATATGTTCTTAATTGCAGGCCAACTCTAACCCAACCGCTGAACTTTGTGCCGTTCAGTTTTAAACTGAGCGCACTGTCTGCCTTCCGGATTTATTCCGTTCAAAGTAATCGAGATCGTTCTCGAACAGATCGCTCACCGCCGTGTTGCCGCTATTTATTATGAGAATTTACAGAATTTACGGAAGCTTCTATGATTTTTACAATTTTTTAAAATATGTTGTGAGCCATCAGAATTGCCTTTGCGAGCTACTGGTAGCTCGCGATCGACGGGTTGCCGACCACTGGTGTAGAGATTCCAAAAACAGGATATTGGAGTTAAAGAAACGAGCTATCTAACCCATATGATGCCATATTAAAAAAAAATGTTCAAGACCATGCACTAAAAAGGAGACAAAGGTGTGACAAAATTTTTTTTCTTGCGCTATCTGTCAAAGCTGCATGTGAACCGTTGCTTCTAAAATTTTTCGCCTAACATATGGAAACTAGAATCCTGAAGCTTTAAAATGCATTTTGCAGAGTCTAGAGATGACTATTTTTTACCGAAATGCAGCTTGTCAAAAATTACTGAAAAATTTGTATTTTTTCTTGATCCCTTCATTTTTTTGTGTACATGAAACTCATGACCATGAAAGGCCACCATAATAAATAAACAGTAATTTTTCCCAAACAAACAAGTTTCAATACTTTGTTTTATTATGTAACTTACAAAATATTCTTTTTTGTTGCAGAGTGAATCAATATTTAGTAAATTTAAGTTTTATTAAGCACTTACGTACAAACAGGGCTCTATAATAATAAGGCCGATAAGTCGCTTAACTTGGAGTTGACGTTGCGATCAAAATTACATGAAAAGGTATTTCATTAAAATGAAGCATTAAATACTTACAATAACATATTCTCATAAAAAATACTCAACGAATCAGACTGAATGTCTATTGTAAAACTCAGAATGTATTCGTAAAAATGTTATAATACCCTTATAATGAAACTAAAAAACTTGACCCTACCAACATGGCCGTGTTGTGAGGCCATAATGTTGCAAATGGCGTGAGAAATCTATATTTCAATAAGCATTGAGGTGGTACAATTAAAAAATCGTTACAATACACCCGACGTCCCTTTCAACGAAAAACAAAGTAATTATATTTTCACGATTCCTATATGTTCCTTATAAGGCACTTGCAGTCCAGCAAGGCCAACTGTCAATTTCTTGATCGACCTATCAACGAACCACAGACTTTCCTGGGAACACTAACGATGTTTGAACTAAAATGAAAATAAAGTTTTAATTTTTTGCTTCAGTACCAAAACAAATACTTATATCATTTCAACAAGAACAACAGAAAACTGAAAACTTGCGTTTTGTTCTGTATACGAAGGATGTCTTTTAAGTTTTGCATATAGAAACATAGTAGGCCGCGCGGATCGAACGTCAGTACTGAATCTTAACCTCACTCTTTAGTAAACTTAAATTCAAAGTTTCACAACAATACGTGCAGTGTTCTCACTACAGTGAAGTTTTAAGTGTCACCACGTCATTAGAAAAATGGAACTCAACCGAGAACATTTTCGCGCTATAATTTATTACAACTTTCAGAGACAATTATCGCAACAAGAATGCCTTGCTGAGTTAGTGTCTGTTTTCGTCAACGAAGCGCCACATCAGTCGACAATTTCCCGTTAGTATGAATAATTTAAAAGTGGACGGGGGAAAAACGGGAGTCACCCAGGAAAACGTCGATGCTGTGTGCAAACTCATGATTGAAGATAGACATGTGACATATCGCGAGATTGAGGCGTCCTTGAAGATCTCAAAGACCTCAATTCAAAAAATTTTACATGAAGAATCAGGAGTCAGAAAATTAGTTTCTCGTTGGATACCCCACCTGTTGACTGAAGAGCAGAAAGCAGCCAGGGTTAATTGGTGTCAAAAAACGCTTGACCGTTTCAATTCCGGAAACTCAAAAAATGTGTACAGCTTTGTTAGTGGTGATGAATCGTAGATTTACTGTTATGAACCAGAAAATAAACGACAGTCGGCTGTTTGGTTGTTCCAAGGTGAAGAAAAGCCAACAAAAGTCATTCGTTCTCGAAGTGTTTCGAAAAAGATGGTCGCGACATTTGTGTCAAAAGCGGGTCATACTGCAAGAATTCCTCTTAATGAGCAAAGAACTGTTATACTGCGGATTGGTATACCACCATTTGTTTGCCAAAAGTCATCACCGAGCTTCGAAAAATCAACCCCGAAAGAAGAATCGTCCTCCACCAAGACAATGCAAGCTCGCACACAGCCCAAAAAACAAGGCAGTATTTAACGGAAGAAAACGTCTAATTATTGGACCATCCTCCATATAGTTCCGATCTAAATCCTAACGATTTCTTTACTTTCCCGAAAACTAAAAACATACTGCGTGGTCAAAGGTTCCAGTCACCAGAAGAAGGAGTTGACGCATTCAAAAATGCCGTTTTGGATCTGCCAGCAAACGAGTGGAATAAGTGCTTCGAAAATTGGTTCGAGCGCATGCAGATGTGTATTAATCTTTCTGAAGAATACTTCGAAAAACAATAAAGTCATTTAAAACTACCTACCGTGTTGTTTTATTTCCATATGCAAAAGTTAAAAGACATCCCTCGTATGTCGGCGTCAAACCCTGAGATCCGTCGTTCCCTGAAATGCCTAGTCAGTCCCCGTATTGCCGGTAAACACTGTAACTGTTTAATTATTACGACGTTTGACTAATCATTTCAGTCATTCCCTGTAATGACTGAACAATTTCCATCAAACACCGTAACAACCACATTAACTTCGTTACTGCATTCGCCTATTTTAGTCGAACGCTGTAATCAATACAGTGTTGCTCCAATAAAGTCCATAATATAACAAGGTACTACTCTATCAATAATATTGAAGCGTGAATTAATCTAACAGGAAAGAAGAGTAGATTAAAGCGATGTCTCTATTAGTACATTATTGTTTTTTTAATCAAGTATTTATATACGAAATCCGGCAACAATGGAAGCTGCTGTTGAGCAAGCCTATGTACGTTATAATTTAGGTTAGGTTCACAAAATTATAAAAATTAACTTACCTCTTTTAACTCATTTGTATTTTTTCCTTATTCACACTGTCATAGTATTCACTTAGTTTCTTGTAAAACAATTCTGAATGCTGCGACATTTTTACAAACACAGAAAAGACGATGCGTAAACTCAAGCAAATGAACACAAAACTGGTACAACGAATGACTGAATCAGGCAAACGCAGTAACGAAGTTAATGTGGTTGTTACGGTGTTTGACTGAAACTGTTCAGTCACTACATGGAATAACTGAAATGTTTAGTCAGAACTTGTAATAATCAAGCTGTTATGGTATTTGCCGGCACTACGGGACTGACTAGACATTTCAGAGAATGACGGGTTTCAGCGTTTGACGCCAAAATATACATACCTTCAGACGTTGAAAGTTCATACAGAGACCTTCACGTATATCTCAGATTTCCTGTGGGTGCATCAATAACGATCCCATTGCGACTCTTTCGTCTATTGTAGCTCACACCTATTTATATTTCCCCTAACTTGTTTGGAGAAATATCATTCAGGTCTTTTGCTTGGAGTACTACGTCTCCAAGTATGTTGTACCTGATCCTGGCAATTGCAGGGCACCTGCACAATACATGCCTAACCGTTTCATTTCCATTCATGCACAGTGTGCACTCACAGTCTTCCGCCATGCCCAGCCTGTTCATGAGGTGACGCAATTTGCAATGACCAGTGTACAGTCCTATTAGAGCTTTGAGGCCATTCCTGTTCAACCGTAGCAAAGAGTCTGTTACCTTCTTTGTCCATCTCTGCAGAGATTATTTGTTTAGCCGTATGCGATTCCAATCGTGAAGCGTGTGCTAGCCCCACTCTTTGCCAGAGTGTCAGCTGTCTCGTTTCCCTCTAGACCTGTGTGTCCTGGTATCTGAGACGGACTTCATTTCCCTCACCTATGCTACCGAGAGCTTCTTTGCAATTCCACACAAATTTCGATGTCGGGTAGGTGGAGTCAAGTGCTTTTACTGCGGCTTGACTATCTGAAAAGATAATTATAGTTCTGCCTCAGTTGTCATTCTGCGATCATTTTGGCACCCAGTCCTATAGCACATAGCTCTGCCTGATAGATCGATGTCCAGGTTCCTAGGCTAACAGATCTTTTAATCCTTAGCTTCTGCACGAAGATACCAGATCCAACACCTACCTCGGTCTTGGAGCCATCTGTCTATGCCCAGATATCTTTCCTTATCAGGTAAACTTGTTGTTTCCACTCATTCCTGTGTGGAATTGTCGCTGAGTATGGTTTAGCATATCTGGTTATCTTTGGCATTCCCAGACTGTGGTGCTTTTGTAAGTCCACCAGCATGTCTGTCTCCCCCATAGTGATATTATCCATTATACCATTTGCCACATGATGTAGTCTATAAGATGTCCTTCTTGCCTGGCCTTCCAGATACATGTGTAAGGGGGTTAAATTAAGAAGGACCTCCACAGCTGCAGTTGGTGTGGTATGAAAGGCACCAGTGGTCAACATACAAGCTTCTCTCTGTATTGCGCTCAGTTGTATCCTTGCCCCACCAAGCTACAGATCCATAGGTATAATAACCATGTTATAAAGTCAAAACATTTGCTTAGGCTTCATTCCCCAGTTCTTTAGACAGACCGTTCACTAGTTCACGTATATGTCAAGTCGGTATTCGAAATGTCAGTATTCCTTGAAACTCCTTGAATATATACGATGCTTAGAACGTAGAGATCGTATCCATACGCTTTGAGTTATGTAGTGCAGTATATGATTTTCTCCTTTTATCTTGCAGACTTTGTCTAAGCGTATAAAGTATCCGTCGTATGAAACCTTCATTATTTATGCTATATCGTCTGTGTAAATAGAGAAGATACAAGCACGTGCAAGCGTAATGATAAAATGATGCATATCAGCCTTCCGACATTCACTATATATCACGTTATTTCAGGATATCGAATATCACTGCACATCATATATTATCTCCCGGTACAGGAGTTTATGGCTCGAACTGAGCGACGTTTTACAGAAACTGGGAAACGCATATGCTCGGACTTACTCTACTTACTCGTTATTTATGATCACCAATATTACCATCGCTGTGAGTACACACATAATTTTTTTAATTGTTACATCCAACAGTTGATTTTTACTTCCCACGCTAGTTATCGCTCTTTTTAAGTAGGCCTAGAATAGTTAATCATACACAGTATCGTCATCCTCGCCGGATTAATCATAGCAACGATCATCTGCGCCCGCATGGATTTTTCTCATGGGGAAGAGGAGCGTTATTTAAGCTTTTGTTATACATGTTCGTAGCAGACTTTTCCCTCAAGGGCTAACTTATGACGAACATACAGGGTGTTTCAGTTTATTGTTGCATAACTTTAACATTCGATAGAAATTTTAAAATTAATGCATAATTTTCACTGTTATACATCAAATATTGTTCGAAATATTTAAAAAAACTATTTTAGAAAGTAAATTTTAACACCCTGTATTTCGGAAGCCACGCATTTTTCGACCCCATGTTTATATAGACTTTATGCATTAATTTTAAAAGTTCTATCGAATCTTAAAGTTATGCAACAATAAACTGAAACACCCTGTATAGAAATCGGAATAATCTACACTCTGTGATGATCTTCCAGTTCCCACAAATTTTCCTTCTACTAATGAGAACCAAAACATTTTCACATGGTGTAGATTTTTCAGATTTCTTTAAAGCCCATATTTTGAAAAGTACACGACTTTGACTTTTTATATCTCATTACTATTACTATTATGATATCTCCCGTTTACGGCTTGACGCCGACTTCTGGACACCCTGTATGAAATAGGAGGATAAGTTTCAAATGTAACATTAATCAAATCCAGGGACGAATCTTGATTGCAAAGTTATTATCTTTTTCTAGGTGTATGGATTTACATCTGAGGCGATAGAAAATGGAGTAACACTCTCATTCAAAGAGCTAGGTTTGTTAGTCGACGCAGTATATTGTATGACTCTTCTTTATATCTTTTGCGATTGCTCTCATAAGGCTTCTGAAAATATTGCTGAACGTGTTCAGACGACTTTGCTTAATATCAACTTGAGCCAGGTGGATTCTCATACAGCCAAAGAGGTAAGACGTGCTGCGATAACGTGCAAATGGAAAATTTACAATCTAAAAACAAAAACAAGTGGTTGTAAGAACGTCATTCTGCAATCTGTGTGTGTGTGTGTGTGTGTGTGTGCACTGTGTAGGTATGCATGTATGTGTGAATAGTTGTATATGTATGTATGCCTGTATGTATTTATATATGTATATTCCAATTTAATACGAGGGATATCTTTTGAGTTTTGCATATAGAAACATAGTAGGCCGCGCGGATCGAACGTCAGTACTGAATCTCAACCTCACTCTTTAGTAAACTTAAATTCAAAGTTTCACAACAATACGTGCAGTGTTCTCACTACAGTGAATTTTTAAGTGTCACCAAGTCATTAGAAAAATGGAACTCAACCGAGAACATTTTCGGGCCATAATTTATTACAACTTTCAGAGACAATTATCGCAACAAGAACGCCTTGCTGAGTTACTGTCTGTTTTCGGCAACGAAGCGCCACATCAGTCGACAATTTCCCGTTAGTATGAATAATTTAAAAGTGGACGGGGGAAAAACGGCAGTCACCCAGGAAAACGTCGATGCTGTGTGCAAACTCATCATTGAAGATAGACATGGGACATATCGCGAGATTGAGGCATCCTTGAAGATCTCAAAGACCTCAATTCAAAAAATTTTACATGAAGAATTAGGAGTAAGAAAATTAGTTTCTCGTTGGATACCCCACCTGTTGACTGAAGAGCAGAAAGCAGCCAGGGTTAATTGGTGTCAAAAAACGCTTGACCGTTTCAATTCCGGAAACTCAAAAAACGTGTACCGTATTGTTAGTGGTGATGAATCGTGGATTTATTGTTATGAACCAGAAAATAAATGACAGTCGGCTGTTTGGGTGTTCCAAGATGAAGAAAATCCCACAAAAGTCATCCGTTCTCGAAGTGTTTCGAAAAAGATGGTCGCAACATTTGTGTCAAAAGCGATCATATTGCAACAATTCCTCTTAATGAGCAAAGAACTGTTACTGCGGATTGGTATACCACCATTTGTTTGCCAAAAGTCATCACCGAGCTTAGAAAAATCAACCCCGAAAGAAGAATCATCCTCCACCAAGACGATGCAAGCTCGCACACAGCCCAAAAAACAAGGTAGTATTTAACGGAAGAAAACGTGAAATTATTGGTTCATCCTTCATATAGTCCCGACCTAAGTCCTAACGATTTCTTTACTTTCCCGATGATTAAAAACAGACTGCGTGGTCAAAGGTTTCAGTCACCAAAAGAAGCAGTTTACGCATTCAGAAATGTCGTTTTGGATCTGCCAGCAAACGAGTGGAATAAGTGCTTCGAAAATTGGTTCGAGCGCATGCAGATGTATATTAATCTTCGTGGAGAATACTTCGAAAAACAATAAAGTGATTAAAAACTACCTACCGTGTTGTAAACTTAAAAGACATCCCTCGTATACATATATTAAAATTTTATAAAATCAAAATTGCGTATTTTGATCGAAAATTTCAACTTAGCAATTTCTATCAGACGAACTGCAGCTTAGACTAGATTTGTCTTGGCAGTGCGAGTAACAATGGGTATATTATTATTGCACAAAATCAAAATGGCGTGACTGAAGCGAAAATTTCAACTTTGCAATTTCTATTACACGGACCAAAGCTTAAAGCTTGAATGGATTGATGGTTCTTACATATGAGGTGTGTCTAGCTTTGTTTGGACAGTGTGAGTGGCACTGGCTATACAAAATTTCTATGAATTTAATAATATCAAAATGGCGGATTTTAATCGGACATTCAAAGGACCTCGCAGAAAACATATAGAAAATGGATCCCTGTCGATTTGTTTAGGAGTTCAGTATGATAAAATTTTCATCTTCCTGGATAAAAGTTCTCTTGGGACCAATGCAATATCCTATAATTAGTTTATGAGAAATAGGAGGATACAGTTTGTCCGATTTGCAAAAATGTTGAATGCGCCGATTGTAGTTTTGAGATCAAAAACTTGAAGACGCGTTTTACTTAAATGTTGACTACTATCCTTACAAGGTCAATACATATAAGGAGAAGTTGATTTTTACAAGCTAATTTTGGAATAGATCTGGCTCGACTTGTTCGAGAATCTGGAGAACTCAATTGTTTGCGTTCCAAAGGTCGTGGTTGTTTACTTGTCTTCGATTGACCTTCACAAGGTCAAATCAAGTTCACATTGCTTAAGTTATACTCATATTTCTACTTCTTTTGTTTTTACCGACGATGTAGGCTATAAGGCAATCTTTGAGTACAGTACAAGTGCTGCATTTGCGCGTTTCATAAACCCACATTCTAAGGATCATGGTCACAATCAACATGATATCTCCCAACATCTTCCTACAAGGTTTCTTAATCAAGTATATATTCGATTATAATTCTCCGACTGTTTGGACTCAGAACTACACTTTCCACACTCGCCATTTTTCCAAATAGGACAAGCTTCATCCTCCGATTTCTCAAAAGCTAATCATATGATTGATTTAGTGTCATGAGAACTTTTGTTCAGGAAGATAAAAAATACATCATACTGAATTTTTAGGCAAGTTGACTGGGACCCATTTTCTGAATGTTTTGTGCGGAGTCCTTTAAAATTTCTATTTCACGGGCTATAGCTTGAACGGATTTATGGATTTTGACATATAAGATATCTCTAGATGTGTCTTGACAGTGCAAGTGACACTGGGTATTTTAAAATTTTATAAAATCAAAATGACGGATGTTAGTCGATAATTTAAACGTTGCAATATTTATTTCACGGACCGCAGTTTGACAGATTTTGACATTCGAGTAGTCCTTAGACTCGTCTTGGTGCAACAGCTAAAACTTCATTATTTCCAATTGCTGCAGCCGAGTTGTTCATATTTCATAAAAATATATTTGTCAGTATTACTTTTTCTCTCCTACTTAATGTGCATACACAACAGAATGAGAAAGCTGTACCAAACATCCAGCTTTAACTTGGCATTCTAGACTTCACATCTTGTAATAGCTGCAATCCTATTAAATATTCAAGAAAATTGGTGGATGCGCACGATAAATATACGTACATATCACATTCACCATTTATTGATGTCAGGCCTTATTGCGTTCTTTGCCTCGAAATTTTGTTCGACTTCATACAAAAATGATTGGAAAAATAAAACATATGAATTATTGAATTCTCTCATGAACAAATCGATCCACAACCTTAGAAAACATTATAAAGGGATGTTCGAAAAAAATCAGAAGTAATAGAAACGACCAGGCACTATTGTTATGGGAAAAACGATTCCGGTGGATTTGACAAAACTTCCTCGTTGCATGTCCTTAGTGATGCTGAATGTTTTCAAAGTACCAACTCGAAAGTGCCCAGAAGACTTAGAAGATGCGTTTCTATTAATTATACTGCCAGCCCAAAAAAAATTATGAAAATTTGGATAAGTTGATCATGGGCGCCCTTATACCAAATTTCAAGGTTAGGTGCTGGCGATTGGAAATTGAATCCTCTTCAATTTAATGAAAAACATCAAAATGGCGATCTCCGTAATTCAGGTCTAGCTAGCTAATTTTTGCGGATGTTTTGGGAACAAAAAAATAGCTATACTTTACTTCTCAAGAAGAAGCCAAGGTGGCATATGACCCTAATGGGTGCCCATGGAATTAATTACACCGCAAATGGCTCAAAAGAAATTTTATTGCAAGTCGTATCAATCTTCACTTTCATTTCGCTACTTACAAGCCTTCAAAGTGGGAGAAACATACCTACAAAGGAGGTAGTTCCCGAAAAGTAGTATTATATCACAATGACGGTGTGATGAAGTTCCTTATCAGAGTTAAATATCTAACTACAGTGGAATCCACTTATAATGAACTTGCTTATAATGGAAACCCGTATATAATGGACACAATTTGAGGTCCTATAAATAATTGCATGTAAAATCCTCGGATATTATAGACTCGCTCAAAATAGACCCTCGCTTATGGCGGACTATTTTGATCCTTTATATGCGAGCTATTTTGGTAGTTGCCCGAAGCAGATTTAGATGATGCCATCGTTTACAGCGCTTAGGCTTCGCAGTTTGCATTCGAACTTGGCCACCAGTGTTATACTGTATTTATTAGAGTTATAAACATGTCGAAAAGTGCGAAACGTGCATTCACTTTACACGAAAAGTTCACAATGATATATGAGCTCGTATGGCTATAAAAAATCCACTGTCTCACATATTTGGAAAATCCGTGAAAAAATTAAGAATGACTGGAAATCAAACAGTCAAAAGAAAAAATGCGGCTATCGCTGCATCCCCAAGTCGATTATATGCTGTTTAAATGGTTTCTACAAAAACGTGCTAATAATTTTCCAATAAGTAGACCTATGCTACAAATAAAGGCTGAAGAATTTGGGAAATTGATTGGAGATTACTTCAAATGTAGTTCCGGTTAGCTAGACAGGTTTAAGAAAAGACATAACATTGTTTTTGGAAAAATGTGTGGTGAGTCAGCTGCAGCTGACAAGAACGTTACCAATGACTGGATTTCTCAAGTTTGGCCCGTCATATCCAATGATTATTCAGATGATAACATATTCAATGCAGATGAAACCGGGATATTTTATAGAATGCTACCTTATAAAACTCACAAATTAATAGGTGAAACTTGCAATGGCGGGAAACTATCAAAAGAGCGAGTAACTGTTATGAATTGAGCTAATCCTTCCGGTAGGGGAGACCGGGTACAAAAGTAACGGGGGGTCGAAAGTAACAAATGCTCTCTAGATTTATCCAATGGGCGAACACCGCTGCGCCGCCGTAACATGTTACTTTTGTCCCTGTATAATATTTGATTATCAATCATAATTTTTTTACTTATTACGTACTTTTTTATTTTACATACTTCAACAGAATGCCGCGACAACGCGTAAGGACTACTGAACGAGGAACTACCGACACAGAAGTGTATCGAAAAGCGGCTGAAGAGCATTTCAAAGATGGTGCAAAAATTAGAGGCCTGGCAAGAAAGTATAATGTTTGCCATGTAACATTATATAGATATATAAAAAAAGTAAAAGCAGGAAATACTAACGCAGTTGTGGGCTAGCGTCGCGTCAACCGAGTTTTTACTAATAACAAGGAAAGTAATCTACGCGACTATTTAATCGAGTGCTCTGCAGTTTATTTTATATGATCTCCATCTGAAGTACGTAAACTGGCATACGAGTTAGCGATTAAAAATGGAAAAACATTTCCTGAAAAGTGTCACGATAGTCGAATGGCGGGTAAGGAATGGTTGAGGGGTTTTTTAAAACGACACCCGAGCTTGTCTTTAAGATGTCCTAAGAAGTCTGTCACGGGCTTCAAGTTTTAACGAGCATAATGTGAGTAAATTTTTTGATAACCTTGCTGAAGTAATGGATAGGTACCAATTTGAGCCAAAAGATACCTGGAATATGGACGAGACAGGGGTAACCACAGTCCAAAAACGTAGCAAGATTATAGCTCAAAAAGGAATTAAGCAAGTAGGTGCAGTAACCTCTGCACAGCACGGAAGACTAGTAGTAACTGTTGCTGTTGCCATTAATGATCAAGGAGGATACATCCCGCCTTTTTTCGTATTCCCGCTGAAACGATTCCAAGATCATATGATACGTGAGGGTCCTGTTGGTTGTGCTGGAGCTGGCAATGCTAGCGGATGGATGCAGTTGATCAAAAATGTTTGTTACTGCTCGACAACCATGCATCACATATATCAATTCAATCTATAGACTTTTGTAAAGAAAACGGAATAGTACTGCTATCGTTTCCATCCCATTGCACCCACAAGCTTCAGCCTTTGGATAGAGCAGTATTTGGGCCATTTAAGAAAATGATAAACACCGCTACAGACAACTGGATGCGAAATCATCCTGGTCGAACGATGACTATTCATTACATTCCTGGTAATGTTAAAGAACCATTTCCTCTTTCTGTAACTGATAAAAATGCAATTGCTGGATTTTCCTGTACCGGTGTAAGTCCATTTAATAGGAATATATTTACTTCTGTTGGCTACGCGCCATCATCTTTGACTGACCGGCCGTTACAAGTTAATAGAGAAGTTTCACCAAATGATATGTTGATTAGTTCTGATGCAACGTCATCCATTCAAGTTGATCCAAGTACTCCAATTGGTGATCTTCCAACATCAGTTGACCAGAATGTTCACCGTACAGATAGCAATGATTTATCAAACAAATCAAACAATAATGACCAATCACCGACTGTTCAAAATATACCGGACCTCATCTCTGCTAGCACTGATCTTCTGTCAGCTAAATCAATTTTTGATCAAAGATCCAAAACACCAGTGTCAGGCGCTAGCGAGCTGCAACAAGCAAATTCTACCCAGCCGTTTAATTCCTCACCTAAAGATCTTAGACCTTTACCGCAAGCGGATCCGACGACTGAAACAAATAAATGTCGAAAAAAATGTAAAACTGCCATTCTCACGGACACTCCCGAAAAAAATTTAATTGAACAAGAGCACCAACAACGAAAGAAAACCAGTACTGGAGAAGGTAAGAGAAAATGGATACCTGCAAAAGGAAAGGGAAAAGGAAAGAAGACAAAGAAGGCACCAAAAGAAAAGGAAGATAGGTCTGACGACGAAGATTGCTTCTGTCTTGTCTGTTTAGAAACTTTTGGCAATAGTCGACCAAATGAACAATGGATACAATGTATCGAATGTAAAATGTGGTCCCATGTGGAATGCGTGGGTGATGATAACAATTATGTGTGCCATAATTGCGATTCCGAGTAGGATAATAATGACTGAATTATAAAAGTCTGATTATAAAAAAATGATTAAGATTAGGTACTCTATTGATCTCATTACTTAAATTAAAAATATTTTTGTTTGATTTGTTTTCTTAAAATATATAATTTTTGTAATTTAAAATACAGAAGTTTATTTGTGTTATCAATGCAAAATTTTGAAATAAATAATTTGTTGGTTTGCCATGTATGATATTGTATGCATTACCAACCCCTATGTCTTGTTACTTTCGACCTGCCTATGTGGTCGAAAGTAACAACTAAGGCTTTTTTTAATTTCTATTATTCCTATAAAACACAGCATAATATAATAAATCGAGTTACTAGTCTAAAAAACATAAACTGAATTTATATATGGTTATCTTAACTTAATGACAACATTAACACCCAGCCAGAAATCAAGGTAAAGGTACAAAGTGTTACTTTTGTACCCGGTCTCCCCTACTTAAAAACGGAAACTATTGATAATAGGTTAGTGAATGAATAGAAATGTTCTAATTTTTTTGATATACAATGGCAGTGTTGCAACGAATTTATGACCTGTTTTTTATTTCAGGGAAATTTAAGAATCCCAGGTGTTTCAAAAATGTTAAAACAATTCCCGTCGATTATGTTGGAAATAATAAAGTTTGGATGACTTCATCAATTTTTGAAGAATATTTAAAAAATTGCGCCGCTGAACTTGAAAAATCGTAAAATTTTGCTCTTGGTCGATAACTGCTCCGCTCATCCAAATATTTCACTTAATAACATCAACCTTCAATTTTTTACACCCAATGTGACATCAGTTATGCAACCATTCGACCAGGGTGTCATTTGGCATTGACAAATTTATCGGAAATAATCCACCAGAAACGGTTTTTCTATGTTGATGCTGCCTGGTCTTTTATAGAATAAGTAAGACTTATCTTTCACTGATGTGGTTTCAGATACAAATGTTCTTGAAGGCTATATATTTGAATCCTCCTAAAGTTTCGTTGAAAGGCTACGGCGTTGTCAACAGAGAACTTGTTACGTCTGTAAGTAAGCCCTTTCTTTCTCTATCGAAGCAATCGCATAGACAGAAGCCTCTCTCATCAGAAGGGAAGTCGCTGCTAATATGCAAATGGAGATCATTATCTTCTGCAATACAAATAAAATTAATCCAAAGTTTTCTCGATAATCGCTGCTTAACTTTATAAATTTGTTACTGTAACTTGGAAAATTAATTACTAGTTATCGGTAAAGTAGTTCTTCAAACTCTCTGGTTAAGTAACATATAACTGTTGATTTGGCAACACTGCTCATACGTCTAAACTAAAATGTTCTTGGCATTTGTGACGATGATAGTGCGTCCTGTTATCTGTGATCTCGTGTCACTGCCAAGCAGAAACGGTTAGGGATTGTGGTTTAACTACAACTGGCGCTTTGGGAGGAACCTGGTACCAATAAACGCGAGAGCTAACTTCTGCTTAGCACCAAACCTCAGTTAATCTGCAATTGATAAATCGAGCCTAACAAGAATTTGACAAGCTTCAAAGAATAATATCCATGTTTATTTTCCAGAGCATCAGCACTATGGCCATCTATCTTATAGTTCTTCTCCAGTTTAAGATTGGTCTGATTAGCTTACGAGGGTAATTTGTAATCTTGGTTACAATGATGTTACTTGATAGAAATACCTGTACCTATAGAGAATAAAGAACATACTACATGTTTGTAATCAATTTCCTGTATATCTGCTTATAGGCGAAGAAATATAGAGATTTTGGATACGAAAATCCTACAATCTTGCAGGCACTACATCGTTTTGTGGTATCGTTAGATCATTCTTCCCTAATGATGAGTTCAAATTGGCGTCATGGTAGAGCCGGAGCATTTGCCGCCATTTTGATAAGCGCGTTTGGTCGAAAATCTCGGAAACCGTCGATCTTACGTGGTAATGGAAACAATTTTCCGAAGCAATTTCACAAGTGAAAATTACCGATAAGTTATCATTGCCATCATAGTGTAAGAACTGCATCAGTTTATTTCCATATTTTGGCGAAAGAAACCGACTCCCAAGGCTTTAAGGTTTATCGGAGCAAGAAAGCACAAGCGAAAGTAAAAACATCTCAGCTGTATCCCAGTTCGTCAACTGGCACGGGTATCATGTAAAAACCTATAAAACGTCAAAAAAAACCTATAAGAAGTCATCTTGCAAACTAGGTAGTTTTTAGGGCGCAAACAGTCATTCCACGTTTGCCCACTATGATCGTTGTGAACGTCCATCTATGAAGGAATCACTCAACTAAACTACACGCATTATTGGTTGCATATGTTTTATGAGGCCAAGTGGTCCTTATCTGTAGTTTTTATCTCTGAGAAGAAAGTTGGTTGAATAGCAAGATCGCATCTGGATGATTATGTATATTGGTCTGCAAATGTTTAAAATCAGTGATATTTGCTGTGCGAGAAAATCATTACTGAATATGCTGCCAATGAAGTACATCTATTGGCTGTGCCCGGCGGGTTATTTTTATGTTGTGCTTTCTGAAGAGAGGGGAATCATCACAGCGCCCGCGTTGTGTGTAATTACTGTTAGCATGTATATGGCCTGTAATTCGACAGTGAATATGATTATTTCTTATTTCTCTCATTTTTGAAATTCATCAAATTTGTATATGTAATTTCCAGGCTGGATAAGAAAAAGTGGATGTGCATCTAATTTCTATCTTTGAATATCAATTAAGTGTATTTGAGACAAGAACCCCATGTAATTATCATCAACACATACAACTTACAGCTTAGACCTTCAGTAATGCCAATTGATAACAACTGCTTAGTTAATATCTTGTAGAAAAACCTATACAGGGTGTCCGCAAAGTTGGGGTTTTCCTTTTCAGAAACAACTACCCTTGAAATGACAAAGGTAATGTGTAGTGAAACGAGGGCGACCAAGTAAAAAAAAATAAAGGAAAAAGTACTCACTCTCCAGTTGACGTCCACGTCTCTGCCCGAAATCATACCGCTCCAACAGAAAATGAAATCAGCTGATGCGCTACCGAGCAGACGCAGAAACCACATTGATTGTCTTACACTTAATGGCACATCTTCTAACAAGGAAGGCAAAATGTTGCGTATAAAGTCTAGGTATTGCATCC